TGTTTGCTTGTTTTAATCAATTTTAAATCATGCTTTTTATTTGTTTTTGTTTCTAATGTCTCTGTAAAGCACTTTGAATCACCTTGTTGTTGAATTGTGCTATACAAATAAACTTGCCTTGCCTTAACATGCTCAACAAAGATGAATTTTTCCAAAAACACAAGGCTTTTGGTGTGGTGTTTGATCTGTTACACAAGACGTTTGCATCTGAAACGTGATGTTCTTGATATGTAAAGCCCTCAAGACAATTGTTTGTACCAGGCTAATCACTGTTAATCACTGTTCTAAAAAGCCAGGCATTTTAGCATAGGAGTCTATAGGGACTGACTCACTTCCTCGCCAGTAGAGAAACTGCATTTTTTGTCCCTGCGATAGTTACATTTTTTATCCCTAGAAATTGACAGTTGGTTACTTTTAGTAACCAGTGGTTCCTAACTTAGGTTTATTGAAAAAACAATCCCATATAAGGTTTCCATTAACCGTGAGTGCTGCACTAGTTCAAAGATTTACTGGATACTAGAAGTGCTTTGTGAGTAAATGCTTTTGTGGATGCTGAGGCAAAACTGTTGAGTCATAGCTATTCATTCTAATGTATTTCCCAAAATCAATACAGTACTGGACTTTGCAATGCTCTATGCAAGACTTTAAATTAAGGCTTAAATATTTATGCTGAAGTAAATATGGCAAATTCCAAATTACACAAATTCCAAATGAACCCACTGACCTGAAATATGTGCAAAATGGACTGGTTCTTATATAGCGCTTTTCTACTCTGTCTGAGCACTCAATACAACTAATTCATTCACTTTTTCTAAGCTGTAAGTGCTCACTATCTAACACTCATACTCCAATGGATGCATCGGAGGGCAACATGGGGTTAGTATCTTGCTCAAGAATTGAACCCCCAACCTTCCAGTTAATAGCTGACCTGCTCTACCACCTGAGCTACAGCCACCCCAGACAGACAGAAGCACATTTAAATGCTTTTACACATCCCACCAATGGTCAAAAACATGCAGGTAAAATATGCAACGTGTGACCGCTTTCACCCCGTCAGAGGCATAGTGACTGTCTTCGAGACTTGTGATCTGAAGCTACTGCAGCTGTGCTACACAACGTGAACACATCCTGTGACAAGACTTATGATTAGTGCTTACAAGGATTACCACAGAACAGGAAGTGGACTGTCGGTGAGAAGTTTTCCATGCATCAACCTCGCATTTTTTTTACATAATAGAAATACATGACTCATTTTAATAAATGACTTCATTAACTGCACACAGTCGGTCATGACAGAAACAATCAGTTACTGTTTAGGATGTTGTGCGTGTTTTGTGTGTGTGTGCTTGAAACTGTTATGTAACAAGGTGCGTGCATACACTACATGGGTAGGATGTTTGTGGCAGACAACATTAGACTGTAACTACTATCCAAATTTAAGTAATGCACATAAGCAAACATGCATGGATAGACACACACTAGCAAACAAACAGTGAGCACAAACACACATGCTTGCACCTGCACATGGTCTTATTAACCAGCGAACACACACACACATTTACCCAGCACCTGTTGCTGCATATCCTTGTGTCACTGCTCACTGGGAGAAAGAGACTCTGTTTGGATTCAGTCGCGCTGAACATATCACTCACAATAGGCAGCAATGATTATTCCTGTAGATGCTTATTGAGTTTATTGCTAATGAGTGAATAATGGCAGGACTGCCTGATGAGCTCATTGTGTTTGTTTTCAAGTGTTGCAAGAATATTTGGGGTTTTTTAGAGTGTTTGAGGTTAAACAGTACTGAAATATGCCATTAGCTGGGGTCGCCATTCAGCAGTACCGATGATTTTATGTCATTAGCACTAATCAGTAAGCACTAATCTAATAATTTAAATAAAAAATTGATGGATGCAGTCAATAAATTAAGTGATGTAGTTTTTTTATGTTGCTATTGATTGACTGTAGTCTATCTTATTAAATTAATAAAATGGGTTACTCTTTTAGACATTCAAATAGTGCCAAATCACAGCAACACTTGCCTCAAAGCGTTTTATATTGTAGGGTAAAGACAACAATCATACAATCCCCTATGAGCAAGCACTTTTCAACAGTGGGAAAGAAAAACTCCCTTTTAACAGGAAGAAACCGCCGACAGAACTAGGCAAGCTCAGGGAAAGATGGCCATCTGTCATTTCATATTTTAATGCCAATTGAAGTATGGATTTTTTAGTTGGCATACACAAACAGAATTTGTTCTCGTTTCTCAATCTATCCCTAACCCTACTAAAGCTGAACCCTAAAGGCCACCTAGTGAAAAAATGTCACGGAATCCCGAAATTTTGGATGCAAATTTGTTGGGTAACATATAGAAACATCAGCAGCATTGAGTGTTTAGAAAAATTTGTCCTCGAAAAATGCACTGTGAAAAAATGTAAAGTGATGATGAGCCGGTCCTGAAAAAGAAAAAAACAGAGATTCATGGTTCATCCAATTCTCACAAGAAGGCAGCACCAGGGAGAAGTTCATGGTTTGATCCATGAGTTAAAGCTATAACACTTTTGTGCATATTTTAGGATGTCAGTGGGTCAGTTTAAGCTTTTCGTGACAGAGTTGGGACCACAACAGGTTCTAACTGATTCTAGCTGATCTCGGGTCTGATGTAAAATAGTAATATTTAACTATTTATATATCGTTGTATGTTCAGTACCAATGTACGTTTGAACTACGAGCGCACCAAATGTTCTCATTGGTCAGATCTGTTTTTTGCGTCCAAACAATCTGAAAAATCAAGTATGATCCAAAAACATTAATTCCACAAATTCATCCTGTGAAAACACGCAGTCTGTACTGCATTAAAAAAAGGTGAGTGTGAATAATATTCACACACGACTTGTTTACACAACTCTTCTCTGGGAGCTGGTGGATGGCCACTAGTTAATTTAGAAAATGCTTCAAAAAAACTGCTCAAGGAAGTTAATTAGTTGTCATGATATTATTAATGGCTGGATTCCATTTAACATCACCGCAGAACAAAATGGAAAATTACATAATTAAAAGTGTTTATTTATTTTTTTGTATGTCACTGCCATCTTTGCTAATGTCTGACTTTTCACATGCCATGCCTCTCTCTTAAACTGTCTCTGGTATCATACAAGGTGAATTTCTTGTGATATCATTCACTATTGGACAATGATTTATAATCTCATGTTTTGAAGCATCAGGCTGAGTGTTTTCACAGTTTTCACATCCTGGTCTTTTGAAACTAGATGTGATGAGAAAGGGGCGTGTCATAAATGCACAATTTACTGAGCCCATAAGTTAAGTAGGAAAGTGTTTCCATGGATAAAGGCAGAAAGCCATTTTCCTATAGACTTCTATAAGATTCCATTGCAAGTTTTTTGCTAAGCATCAAACCTTGGTGGCCAATAAACAGAAAACGTGTTTAAGGCACTTTGCATTGGTTTTACTTTTTATACATTTTAGAGATTTTACTTTTACATTGGCTGTGGTCTTATTTTAAAATATGTTGTAAAGAAGATAAAAAAGCATAAAAGCTTAAAAGTGAAACCCAAAACCTGAGCATGTTTATTAATGACCAAACCCAGGATTTGAAGTTGTATCTGTACTTTACATCATCCATTGCAGACTAGTCTAATGCAATACATTGTAAAACATGCCATTACCCTAGCAGTTGTCTGTCTGTTTTCCAACAGGCAACATGACATGACACAGGCAACTGGCAAATTCAAAGCAACAACTAAAGTTTCATGCAACAACTCGAACTAAACCTGATCTCACTTTTGTTGGGACACTTTTTTTTAAAAATACATAAATAGATATATAATAGACAGAATGCAGCTGACAGTGTTTGTAGCCTAACACGTGTAAGGTCCACACAAATCAGTTCTTATGGAGATAATTAGATGACACCATTAACATCACACAGACAGACCCTTGCAAAGAGGTGTAGCCATGCAGTAGTGTTAAGTATAAATTGTGTGTTAGTCCTGCCAGCATGCTCCAAACCTTTTATATTGCATTGCAGTAGATCATAGCAGATGGTACTTTTTAATTGCTTGTTTGAAACTCCTAGTGGAGATGTTAAATTGTTATTACCCCTTAGTCACATGCATTAACCACTGCAGTAAAGCAGGGGTTTAAAGCAAATAAAAATCAAATATAATATATAATCATGGCAAAAGCTTTTTTTTTTCAAATAAATTATTTTTTTAAACGCTAGAAATACACCAAGCACGAAGCTATGAACTCCATAAAATTGCCCTGATGAAATAAGTATGATGTCTACTGAGGGAAACACTTCACTCTTTTTTAGCACATGTCAACATGACTGGGAGGAGACAAAGGCACAGTCTCATCTGCCCGAAGGCTGGAATGATGACACTAACTATATTAAAATGCATGAAAACATCAGCTCACCCATCCCTAAAACTTGAGTGATGGCCATAATAATAATAATAATAATAATAATAATAATAATAATAATACTTTGACTTTTTAAAATGAAAATCAAGTGGAATTGTAAAACATTTGTAAAACAACCATTACTTTTTTTTTACAGTTTTAAATTATTTAATTATTTGTTTGTGTGTTTAAATATCTAGAGCCATATTCTTTATCAGCTGTGACAAAAACCTATCAGTTTAAACTCCACTGACTGACGTTTTAATTGTTCGCAGTGCAACAGGGCTAAACAACAGACTGTTGAGTGGCATTTCTTTCTCCATCTTTCCACTGACTGAGACTCGTGACACAGTTTTCAAACGTTGAACTGAAAAAATAATAAATGAGTGAAAAAATAACGAAATAAATTCTTCACGTGTCAACTCTTAAAGAAATTTGGATAATTCATTTTAAGTTGAATCAGAGCAGGGGGCAAAAAAACAGGCACTGGCCCTTTAAATGAAGAACCTGCTAGAGCAGTACTTAGAAAGAAAGAAAAACATGCACGGAGGTGAATTGAAATGGGATGTACTCACCACTGCGGATACACACATGGCAGGCATGGTCCTCATTTAGAGTATACAGATGAAGGTCGAGCCGTCCAAGGTGACGGCCTGAGAAAGACTTCTCATCTATAGATGTTAGTCATCATCATCATCATCATCATCGTCCTCCTCAGTTTACCGGAGGAGAGAAGCTGAGCCCGGCTCTGAGCAGCGACAGTCTCCACTGCAGTGTTTTATAGTCTGTGTCTCCAGGTGAACCGGTTTTAGATGCGAGGTGAGGGTCTGCTTCACAGACAACGCTGTGGTAATTCCCATAGCGATGATGGATGGGGGCATACACCGGGACCGCCGCCTCGCCCTGTCCTGGCTTGTCAGCGTGCAGTGCGGCTCTCCGTCCGCTCTGCAGTCCTCCACAGACACTGCTGACGTAAAGCGAGAGGCGGGACTTAGCGAAGGGCTGTCGGCCAATCCCAGTCACGAATGAGTCGTGCACGTGTATTGAACCCCGCTTCTGGTTAGGAAAAGAGGGATTGCAGTGGAAGACATTTGAAACACCCGGGGTTTAGCCCTAAAGGGTAGTATGCATGTGGGATTTTTTATTTTTTTTTTGGGGGGGGGGTTAGAAATGACTGAAAGATTAATTGGCTCTGTTTTGAGTTTTGATCAAAAAAGAATGACTTCATATAGGGAAAGATATATATCACATGTGCAGGACACCTGAAACTAGTTTTTTAATTAAGTTCAGTCTGACGTCACTAGCCGTGTCTGGGTCTAAACTCCGCTGCAGGTCCATATATCAAACGATCACTGTGGCATTACTGAGAGTTGAAAAACTGTCTAAAGTCTTTCATCTTTAATAAAATGATCAGCGTTCTGCTCTACCAGGTGTAACAATTGAGTTTAACATCCAGGC